AGAGAGAGAGAGAGAGAGAGAGAGAGAGAGAGAGAGAGAGATCTCACTTGAAAACTAAAAAGAGGCCAGATATCTCAGACAGGGACAGCTTCCTGGTCAGGTGACGCTTGGTGTGGGTTTGAGGGATGTGGGTCATGAGATGCTGCAGGATGACGTCGTACATCACAGGACATCACAGGAAGATGCTGGAACCCGGGGCAGGAGTTGAGCGTGCCCTTCCATGGACAGACTGCAGATGGACTGGCCTCGTGCCTGAATGCCCGGGAATGCTATTCAGTGCTACAGGTCGCACGTGGCAGCCTCCAGGCCTCTGTTGATCCACAGACACTCTCTGCTGACCGAGAAGTATTTAAAACTGTCATGACCTTAAGGACCGCGCATTTCTAGTTTTGATCACCATCTCTGTGGTCTTCTTTAGACCTTCACTTCTTACCTGAGTCCCAACCCCGCACATGAGCGTGACAGCTGCTCTGAGAACATCAGATACTCTATGAAATCCTCAGCCACCATGCCATGCGGGGCTCCCACAGATGGCTTCTGGGGTTTCTGAGACGTGAAGAGGAAAGCTCACCTAGCTTTGTCCCTTGGCATGCTCTAAACCTGCAGGGGCTCGTGTCACAGCAGCCATTCAGGACAGGCCCCTGCCTCACTTCCAGAACATACTGTAAGGACTCAGGCATCACGCTGGCCCGCCCCTGTCACCTGGCAGGATGCACTCAGGCTGCGCCCTGGTCGGGCCCAGGGGTCCGTGGTTGCATAGTCTGCACATAGGTGCAAAGGGTCCTTTGAAAGACAGACCCCGCCCACTTATGCTGCATTTCTCCTTTCTCTTTCCTGCTGGTCCCGGGGCGGGCAGGACTGTTCCTGTCTCCCTCCCTCTCCTGTCCTCTCTCTGTCCCTTTATCTATTCCCCCGCCCCCGCCTTCCTAATAAAACTTCTAAGTCTGTCTTCCTCGCATGTTTGTCCCCCTCCCCCGTCTTGATCACCCTCATCCGCCAAGGTCCCCACACGACTTATTCCTAACACGATGTTTTAGGATAAACCTTGGGACTATTTGTGAGTCCAGAAGGTTCCCTGGTAATTTGTCTTTAATTGCTAAAAAAGACCGGGAAGGGTTTACCATAGCATTAATGACCCTTCAAAATAGCGATGTGAAAATAAGTTCTGCAGTTGGAAACGCCTCCTGCAATCCACACGGTTGTGCGTGGGCGTTGCGTGCGTGCCGTGTGCTTCCTGAACTAGAGCTGCTCCTGACATCACTCTTGTTTTCTCACACACCTTCTGCAGCACGACAAACGGGAAAAATGCCTTGAAGCAAATCCCAGCTGCAGAGTGCTGCAGGCCACAGACCTGAGCCTTACCTCGTCTCAGGGCAGCCACGGAAAAACCGCGATAAATTACCGGGTTCTGCGAGCATGTGATCTCACTGTGAAGCCACTGCGGTTCACGCTCATACCTTTAGAACAAAACAACTGACAGAACTCAGGGCGTCCGAAATATTAGCACGTATAGCATGTTGCCATTTTCTTATGTAAAATTCAGGTGTTATGTACTGTTTCTCTCCTTTTTTAGAAACATTTAAAATCCCATCCTTAAAGTGGTATTTGTTACAAATTCTTTCACAATAATTTTTAATTATGTGAATTCCTCCCAGAAGTGTCAGAGAACTGGCTAGTAACTAATATTTTGAATGTAATGAATAATTCATCGTTTGCTAATATCCTTCTATGAAAATTCTTGAAGCTAAATATAGACCGAGTTATAAGCCAATTTGGTTTTTAAAAGTAGACTTACGATCCCCTTTTGCATAGCTTACCAACACAAAGAGGTTTAAAAAGTACTTTCTATATGATCACAGCAGACGTGGGAGGGAGAGAATGAGTCTAAGAATGGCTCCACAGACTGAATGTTGTAATTTTTTAAAAAATGGCTCGAGAGAGAAAGACACCGTGCAACAGAGTTCAAGAAGAGCGGTTTTTATTAAAGGGGAAAGGTTGTGAAGCGGAGAAGGCGGAGTCCAGTCTCTGGGGATGGGTGAGCAGGAAAAAGGAAAGAGGAAGAGGGGTGGGGGAGAGAGAGAGAGGGGAGAAGAGGAGGGAAAGAGGGAGGCGGGGAGGGGTGGTAGACAGGGCGCTTTTAAAGGAGAACATAGTGCATGTGCACAGGTGATGCTCTTAGTGGCTGCAGCTCAGGGCGTGTCCTGTCAGAACCCCAAGGACAGGCCAGTACAGATGCCTGAATACTAATATGGCCTGTTCTTAGGGCTTCTGGGCTGACTTCATGCCCCATGGTCCAGTTCTCACACCCGTTGTCCTTGGCCATTGTCTCTGAAGTTGAAAGCGATAGATAATCGTGCTCTGTTCCACCAGAAACTTACAGTTAAACTTGCAGTTTATTAAGCTCTCCTTTCCCTTGGTGCTTTGATAGTTACAGTCTGTTACTGTGGTGTTAAAATGTTGCAAGGTAGCCGGGCAACAAGGCCAACTAATAGACTCCCAAACCATGTAGTTTCCTAACTCCCCACACCAAAGCACGCCGTTTCAGGGAAATCTTTGGTCATATGGAAATTCACCTCTTTTTTTTTTTTTTTTTTTTTTTTTTTTTTAATGACTTTGGATAAACTAAATGTATCAGCTGTTCCACTTGGAGCTACAAAACAAATAACTAAAGTAACCTCCTCTGTTGATACTAATCATGAGGTTTTTGGTTTTTTTTTGTTTTTGTTTTTTTTTTTTTTTTTTTTAAGTGAAGGGGGTTTTGCTATTTCTAATAAATTACTGTCATTTAAACCGGAAATTCATTTTACATTCTCTTGGTATATTTTAGCAAATTGACCTTTGCATATATTTTGCATCTATTAAATTAAAATACATTTCAGTGCCTAGTAATATGGTTGGAAAATTCGTAGTATTTTTTTTTCTGTTAGTCTTGCCATATGACAAGCCTGTTCTCTAAATATTTACATCATTGGATAATATCTGTGTACTTATGCAAATTCTGACTTAACATTTTCAAAACTTAATCTGTTAAATTAAATGTAATCTTTTAAAGTATCAGAACATAGATCGTGTAACTTGGTGCAAGTAAAACAACAATACCTGATGGCATTATCCTGGAACATTGTAATGGCCTTTGCTTCCCACCCTGGCAACTTCCACCTTTCTATCGGAAACTTCAAAAATATATCTATAGGAGGAAAATAAATTTTAAACATGAGATTTATGTTGCTATAAAGGAGAAATCCTTTATAACCACATAAAACCACTGCAACCAGGAACTCTGTCTAAGTTTTACATAAAAGGGGACATATTTTATCTTTAATGCCTCATTAAGCTTTCTGGAAATGTCAATATTCTAGAATATTCTGACTGAATGAATGGCTACATATGTCTATATTTCTTCCAAAGTTCAAATATCTTAAATAGAAAAATGTCTGAGTAAATCATTTGTTCTAATAATTAAAGGTCTTTTTTTATATTTGTCTTTCTTCTATTTAATTTTGCCTTCATGCAAAGATACTGCTGTGACATAACAGCTGTCTCTCACTTGTAATTCTTCAAATAATGGTGTCCAAACTGTAATCCCTGGGCTGAGATGATAACCTGTAATGTCTCAAAAGTCATTTATTTTAACTCTAAAATATGTGTATATTTGTTACGTAGAAAGAGGTGAGTGTACAGGTATGTGTGGTGTATGTGTAGTAAGTAGCATGTGTGTGTGGAGTGCATGTGTGTCTGTAAGTGAACCATAGGCTACTGTTGAGAACACAGACTCAGGAGGTAGCTACCTGAACCTACATGCTAGTCCTCTAACTTCTTCCAAGCTATGGGGAGTTTATACTTGCTCCTTGACTTCCTGAGAGATATTACAAACATCTTTTCACCCCAGATAAAGAGCCAAGACCAGTCCCCCAAAGCTATCCCACCCATTGAGTTTACTGGATTACTACAGGAGTACAGACAGCTCAGCTGGCCTGGGTCCTCCCCAGCATCTGTTACAGCTTGTATCCTTGGGGAGAAGCTTGTGAAAATTGTCTGTTTCAGGAGCTTCCTGAGACTTTAAGTCTCGTTTACTTTCTTAGTCTTAATAACCTCCCACTAATGTTTTAATTTGGAGGAAATAGCTGGGTGAGAACCCTCTTCAGTATTTTTATCATGTAGGATTCACATAAGATTCTAAGCATATTTGCCTTATTTCTGCCCTGTTATTTATACAAATGTATTGAAGCATAATTATTACATATATATTTCACTAAGGTAATTTTAAAGATATGCCACTATATATGAAAATACACACAAATATATATATATGAATACACAAACAAATTAAATATACATATGCATATACATATATACATATATACATACATATACATATATGAAACTCTCACTTATATATGGAGTTTTCTTACATCATATACAAACAGTAGAGATGTGGTCACCGTGTCAGGAAGGGATAGAGAAGATGGCTGGGCAGTGCCTGTAAACCAAGCTTGATAAGGTGACGGAATCTAGATATCTGTTGTACATCAGGAGGGCTGTATTTAATAACATTATATTGTATGCTAAAACTATTTGAAAAGTGTAGACTATGTGGAGTGTTGGCAGCTTGCTTGGCTTTTGCAATAATGCCATTTGTGTTTGGTGTATTATACATGCATACATGGAAGTAATTTTTTAAAAATAGATATGCCGGTAGGATATTTGAAATCGCGAACACTTGATTAGATAAATGTGATTATGTGACACATCACTGATCAGAGGGAAATCCTGGGGAGAGCAACCAAAGATGCACAGCTTTGCGATAGACCAGCTAGTATATCATAGTGAAATGTGCTCATGCAGTCACCTGAGTGCTAATCACACATCTCCACTGTGCTAGCAGTAGGGTATCCCCCAACAACTAGGAATGCAGTTTTGCTCACTGGGTGGGGGGAGGGTAGGGGAAATTAGCCATATCATGTCACCTATGGAAACTTACAGCGGGTTTTCTTTTTCAGGGTGCACCTAAACCAATAGCCATAGAACCCTGTGCTGGGAACAGAGCTGCTGTCCTGACGGTGTTTCTCTGTCTACCGAGAGGATCATCGGGCGCCCCACCCCCTGGGCAGTCAGGTATGATGCACGAGCTGACAGAAGTTAAGCAAACTTGATAGAGAAAAGCTACACTAGAGACACTATCAGGAGGCTCACAAGTTTCAGAACATGGTGATGAAATCTTATTAGCATACAAACTGTGGCACACGTGTACATTATGCTTTGCCATTCACCAGTGTTTCCCTTATAAACGCTGCTGATGTGTGTGTATTTGTGTAGTGTTGGGCGAAATCTGTCTAGTAAAGACGCAAGCTCGTGGTGCTTTGGGCCAGCTTTTTTCCTGGCATGTGTGGCTTATAGGGAGCCACATTGTAGCTATGATGAAAACTTTGCATCATTGACCTGGAACCAACCCAGGGAGTGTGTGTTCAGGGGACTCGGTGGCCTCAGGAAACAACAGCTCCTTCAAACATCTAGGTATGATGTTCCCCCTCAGCCCCAGACAAGGGGGGCTGATGGGCTAGGCACTCTCTTTCCCATGGATGAGTACAGTGGCTCCTATTCTGGTTGAGTCACCTTTCACACCTGAAAAGTATGCTTTGTTTTTGGAGACAATCACAGCTGGGATGCCATTGCATACGCTACACATACTCGATGTGATTGTCACTAGTAATCAGATCTCAATGCCACACTCATGTCCCCGTCTACATGTTGCAGTCCAGCTGTCCAAAATATTTTTTTAATAATCTGATTATCATCTGGTCAGCTCTTAATGGAAGTAATGTGTTTGAGAGCCAGGGAAATTCTAGACCTTTCTCCTCAATCTCTTTATACATAAAACAAAGTGCCAGCGTCCTGGCAGCTTCTGGGTTTGTAATGGATGGCGAACTCACCTCCCTGCTTATTTTCTCTTTGCTTACTCCCCAACTTAACTTTGACCTTGCCAAGGTTTATATTTTTCCCCCAACAATTTGGGAACCATGCTGCCTTACGTCTTTTAAGCTCTAAATATCCATGCTGCAGAACTACCCTGTGTGAACAGTTCCCAACAACACTCTTGAGGTAGTGAATTTCCATCCAAAGTTCAACAGTAAATGTTTACTCAGAAGAGAGATCCTGTCCACGCCCAGGTGAACCAGCACGCAGAAGGAGAACAGGTTGACACTGTTCAGATGTGAGGGATATTTATAGGTACCTGAGCCCAGCTAATGGAAGCAATGTTTTAAAGCTGGGATGATTTCCAAAACAAATACTTCACTAGTGAAAACAAGCCAAGGTGATATACTCCAAGGTTCCTCTTGATCCTTGACAAGATGACTTTAACTGATGGGGAGAAACTAAAGGCAATCGTCAATATTCTGTCTGTCCCTCTGTGACTTAGAAGCAGTGTGGGCCATTGCGGGAGCCATGTTTTCCTATGGAGGAGGCATGATGATGCCTCATGATAACGCTGCTTTAGCTGTGTTATTTACACACAGCTCCCCGGTTTTTCACATTTGATCTTCATGACAGGGCTGTGAAGTAATGCAGAACTCCAAGTGAGAGGAGTCATGTGTAGAAACACTGTGTTTCTACGCTCGAGGAATGATTGGAGTGGGGGGACGAGGGTGTAGAGCAAAGAGAAAGATATTACTGTTCCATCTGTAGTAGAGAGCCTATCTCTCTGTAATTAACAGCCCACATCTTCACCAACTGAAGCTTCTGAATTCATAATGATGATGTCTACAGAGCTGCTCTAGGTAGAAAGGTGAAACGTTGAAATAGTTTGCACACTTTTTCCAGAGCCTGGAAACTGAGGGATGTTGTGTGTCTCTTTGCTCTACACCCTTGGAGTTCTGCATAGACACCCACCTGGTGTTTAAGAAGGCGCAGACAGGATCTCTGGATAGAATGATGGTTGATTGACAGGTAGGAAAGAAACAGGCAAATACTAGTGGGGGACTCAGAAGTGATGGGAATACCTACCAGTGTTCATCGTGTTCATTGTAAAATTAACTTTGAAATATATATGTGTATGTATGTATGCGTGTATGTATGCATGTATGTATATATGTATGCATGTATGTATGTATGTGTGTGTGTATATATATATATACATATATATATATATATATATATTTGTTTTTTAATAGTAAAATGTCTTGCTATAATAGAATAACAATTTTGTGACTGTGCTGGAATGTCTGTGGTGCCTTCAGGACAGTCACCCCTCCCGGAGCTGTTCTGGCCCATTCAGCACACCAGTGTTGAGGGTGACTCTTCTTCCCAAATCAATCGGACTGCTCTCTCTCTCTCTCTCTCTCTCTCACACACACACACACACACACACACACGCACACACACACGCACGCACACACACACTTATATCAGGGCGACAGTTAAGTTCACCAAATTCTTTCTCAAAACTGCATGTATCACATGGAAGTAAGTTTCTGGAAACACACTCTACTCTAGCGACCATTTCCTGCAGGGACAGCTAGGAATCTTGCAGGATTCCTAGGGGCTTTGCCTCTTCCTACTAACAACTGTTTCTGCAATATTTGAGGAAGAAAGGTGTCCTTTCTTGTGTGTGCCTTGAAAATGTGAACTGCCTTTGGCCTTCATCTCATTAGAGAGGTAAAGAAAAACTGCACGTTTGACCTCTGCATTCCTCGGGCACTAACCTCTTTCTCGGGATCGTCTGTTCGTCATTGGGACATTTCTATACAAATTTGATGTCCTTAACTTTGTTCTTATTTGCCCTCCTCATGGTAACCCTTCCAACCTACCCTCTCCAGTTCCTTTCTCCTGCTTTCTCTTCACATATAACCCATTTTCCTTGACACGCCTCTGTTTTTTCTGTCTTTTATTTTTTTACATTTTACATTTTGCCACCCGTTTGGCCAGAACATTAATGGCAGGCAGGACAGAGGCAAATCGCCCCATGAGGGTCCGAGCCTGCCCTGACAAAGCTGCCAGCTTCTCTACCCCAGGCTCTGAGGTCAGTGTGACCTCTACCTACCCCAGGCTCTGAGGTCACTGTGACCTCTACCTACCCCAGGCTCTGAGGTCAGTGTGACCTCTACCTACCCCAGGCTCTGAGGTCAGTGTGACCTCTATCTACCCCAGGCTCTGAGGTCAGTGTGACCTCTACCTACCCCAGGCTCTGAGGTCAGTGTGACCTCTACCTACCCCAGGCTCTGAGGTCACTGTGACCTCTCTCTACCCCAGGCTCTGAGGTCAGTGTGACGTCTACACTGGTGACATGTGTTCACCACGCAGCACCTTCCCTTCTCACCCCACACTTGGTGCAGAACACGGATCCCCATGAAAACAGGACACATTAAGTCGCTGGCTGGCCTGCATGACGGTAAACCAAGCTTCTGTCGAATCACTCTGGCGGTACCGTCCCCGAGCATTTTAGAGCCACGTTAGGATGAAATGTGCACGATGTAAGTAGACCTCTTGAGAAGCACAAATTGGAAAAGGTAATGACCACTGGCTCTCTGATGGAAGATTATGGATTCCACAGTTTATGAATTCTTCCTAATGAGAAGCAGATTAATGTCCCTCACTGGATTAAAAATCCCAGGGCCCCAAGTGTCCGCTGCTGGAATGAAGTAGTGTGTTTCAACTAAAACCAAGATTTTATGATGATTTACTCATGTATGATTTACTCTTTTTTTTCAATTTTTAAAATTTATATTACAACAGTCTTGTTTTACATGTCAATCCCAGTTCCCCCTCCTCTCCTGCCCCCCACTGACTCCATATCTCATCCCCTTTCTGCTCCCCAGGGAGGGTGAGGCCTTCCGTGGGGAGTCTTCACAGTCTGTCATATCATTTGGAGCAGGGCCCAGGCCCTCCCCCGTGTGTCTAGGCTGAGGGAGTATCCCTCTATGTGGAATGGGCTCCCAAAATCCATTTGTATACTAGGGATAAATAGTGATCCACTACCGGGGCCCATAGACTGCCCAGTTCTCCTACATAACACCCACATTAGGGGGTCTGGGTCGGTCCTATGCTGGTTTCCCAGCTATCAGACTGGACTCCATGAGCTCTCCCTTGTTCAGGTCAGCTGATTCTGTGGGTTTCTTCAGTCTGGTCTTGACCCCTTTGCTCATCACTTCTCCTTCTCTGCAACTGGATTCCAGGAGTTCAGCTCAGTGTTTAGCTGTGGGTGTCTGCCTCTGCTTCCATCAGCTACTGGGTGAGGGCTCTAGAATGGCATATAAGGTAGTCATCAATCTCATTATCGGGGAAGGGCTTTTAAAGTAGCCTCTCCACTACTGCTTAGATTGTTAGTTGGGGTCTTCCTTGTAGAACTCTTTTGTCATTGGTGTGTGTGTGTGTGTGTGTGTGTGTGTGTGTGTGAGTGTGTGTGTGTGTAGAGGTAAAAAGACAACTTTGTGGGGTCTCTCCTTTCCTTCTACCTTTGTGTGGGTCCCAGGGGTGACATACAAGTTGCAAGGGTTGTAAGGCTGCTTACTAGGACATCTCCTCAGCCTATGAGGGATTTCTGACATCAACAAAGAGAATACTTCTGGGGAGCCTAAGGTGATGTCTCATTTTAGGCTTAGATATTTGGGCAAGATGATCAAACATTTTTAGAATAATCCATAAGTACTACATGAAATTTAAAATGATATTCTAGCCACAGTGTCATTGATGCATTTCCTGTTTAGAACAATAACAAAAAGACCTTTGAAGTTAAGGAAGGAAGAAGGAAGGAAGGAGAAATAACAATTCTGGGCCAGCCACTTACTGTATTAAGATAGGTACACATGTATCTGCATGCATGTGCGCATGCACACACACACACACACACACACACACACTATGTACACACAAAGTGTGTACTTGTGCATATACACCATGCACACACATATATGCACAGATATTCTTACTGTTTCCAGACCCTTTGTGACTCCTCTTTTTACCTGGATCTCTAAAGATTAAATGACTCAGTTCAGCCAACAAACGAATGAGCCAGAATTTAAACCCAGGGATTTTATATCCTCTGCCTGTATACCACTATGATCTCAATACAGACAGGAGATGCTCCCAAATACAGCCCTTAGTCCTGAAGAAACATACAG